TCTTTTTTGTTAAATTGCGTGAAAAAATCCTGGGTTGCGTTTTTTGGGGCTTATTTTAAATAAATATGGTTGCTTGTTAGAAAAATCTGACAAGCAACTTTGTTTCTTTACATTGATGTTTGTCGTATTCTCCAGTGCATTATTTGACACTGTTAATAGCCAGTCAGTGCAATAAAGTGCTGTAGTGTAATTCGTCAAACATTCCGCCCCCTCCTCCCTCACTGGAGAAAAATCACGTTCAACATGAAGGCGATTTTTGAATTAATCGCATGCTTTAACGCGTTAATGTGAGACAGCCCTGCTTAAAAGACAAGTCAGGGAACCCGATGTTGCGGAACGTGACCACACTAAACTGACAGGCAGAGAGTGCTTCAAAGTTTGGTGACTGTCCAACTGCAGCACCCCACGGACAGATTCTTTTTTGCTTTTTACAGAGCCTCAGGCTGTCACTGAGACTATTTCAGTGATATCTGTCAATTATTAGGACATTTTATGCATGCTATTCCTTCAGAACCTTTATGAGCTCTGCACAACCTTCCAGCTGCGACGCCATTGTCAATGGACATTCTGTGCACACAAAAACAACTGTTGACATTTTTTGTGCATTTCTGGTTTGTTTAAAGGAGTGGTTTAACAAAACCAAAAGCAACAACAACAAAACATGCTTTCTTCTGTGGAACATAAAAGGAAACATTTAAAAGAATGTTCACGTTGCTCTTTTCTATACTATGACCAGGGACTGTAAAGATGAATCTTTTTTTTTTTAAAGTGCTTTTTGGAGCTTGATGGCCACAGAAATGTTTGCAAAAAATCTCATTTTCTGTTCCACAAAAGAAATAAAGTCACAGGTTTGAAACTATATAACCTAAAAGGGATGTTACATGATGAGACATTTTATATTTGTGTCTTTTCCCATCAGTAATGAATGTAAAATAAAAGAAAAAAGAAGATTGTTCTCGTGAGTGCGGATCATAATTTCCTATACTAAGTGACTCAACAGATTGACGCACCAAAATAAAAAGATCAAGTAACGCAAGAGCGCAGTGCAAACGACGTTGTTAAATTGAAACTATATCACAACATGAGAATTTTCATATTTTGCGTGAACTGTCTTTTTAACCCTATTGTACTGTATTTTGATTCCATCTTTCTCTTCCGGTCTCTTCCTTTCTTTTAAAGGTCAAGGATACATGGACTGTGATCAAATTGTTTAGCTTCTGTCTCCAGACAGCTTAACACTGACTGTGAGATGCTGCACAAGCTGGAGGTCGCGGCTGCTCTATCTGTAACAATTACATGTGTGTATACAAACACCAACTCTTCAATTCCTGTCCATCACTGTGGCCAGAGGTCAGTTCTAACCAGTTCCAAACAAACGCATGAATAAATCTGAATAAGTATGAGGGAATTTGCATGGAAGGTGATCTTATCTTCCACATCTTATCTCTTATCCCAGCATGCACTGGGAAGAGGTCAGACGTGACTGCACTATAGTCATTCATGCAGAGCAATCTGTCCCTTTCTTTCACTCTAATTGAAAACTGAAATGAGAAGATTTAAGTTCTCAATGTTTAAGTACTGAGTTAATGCAAGTTAGCTAGCAGTGAATTAACCTAAAATAAATTGATGACTAATGAATTAAAATTCAGCAAAACTTAAACAAAAATACTCTCAGATCATGATGTAAAAATCTACTACTACTACTACTACTAAATATATATATATATATATTTTTTTTTTTTCTTATTTCTCGTCACTTCTCATTTCAAACTAAACCAAAAATAACGTTTTTTTTTAATGCATTCCATGATGGTAAAGGAAGTTGGCTAAGTTAATTGGGGGAAAAAATTCTATAACAACAATCCGTACACATAAATATAAAATTAGTTGAAACCAACCTTTCCACATTTTTACCAACAATATTGACATTGTTTAAAGGGACCAAAAAGATAATCAAACTGAACAACTACACAAATATGGTTCAAATGGATACCCACTATTACCGTAGAGCATGCAAGAGTGCTTCAGTTCAAATTCAGCTGCTGTTGACTGACCCAGAGCCAAGAGATAAACGCTGAGAGATCGGGTCATGGCACCAATTTAACAGTACCAAGCAAAGTCAACATGTACGCTCAGGCGCGTGCGCACACACACACACACACACACACACACAGAGAGATGGACATTTGGAAGATGTTAGTGAATTTACTTTTTGAGTAAAGTTGGTGTCGCTTACCTCCGGTCTCTGGGTCGTGGAAGTTTGGGTCGAGCCCTTTCTCCAGAAACTTTGATACCTTCTCAACGTTCCTTTGTTGAACATATTCCATAAACTTCTTCAAGTTAGCCTGAGGGAATGAGAAAAAAATGAGAGAAAGAGAAACGGAGAGAGATGTGAGGCAAGTTGAATAATGCAAAAGAAGGATAAAAGCAAAAACAGGCGAGTTTTCCCAAGCGGAAGAAACAGAAATGGAATAAAGCTCCACAGTACTCCATAGAAAGGACTTAATTTTAGCTTTTCGGAGATTCACAGACGAAAGCCTCAATAAATACATTAGAAAATCTGTTGATGCTGCAATCCTGATCCACAGTTTATTGTTTAATATCATATAACACAATATTTCAAAATCCACTGAACATTTCCACAAGACGGAGTCTACTTTGAAGAGAAAATCAAATGATAGCTACGGCTGTTTTTTTTTCACCCAAAAACCCAGTATATTTTCATGACCTGTCACACAAACCATTATCATTTAAGAATGGTAATAAAGGAAAGGAGTGGCTAACAAGTACCATTAGAGTGATCTTCTGGCCAAGGGTTTCTTACAGATGCTCAGTCATAACATCTGTGGCACAACAATGCCTTGAGGCAATACAATGCAATGCAATACAACAAGACTTTCACTGTTAAAAGGACAATTTAAATAACTTTACAGCTCAAATGCACAACAGAAGATGTTTTGAAGAATATTGGGGTCCAAACAACACTGGACCCCATTGACTTTTATTGTATAGACTGAGAAAAAAAAAATCTTTCAAAATATCATCTTTGTGTTCCGCAGAGGACTGTACATGTCATGAATGTAGTTGGAGTTACTGGCAAATTACAATCAAAAAGTTATGTGAGAGGAAGCAGTGCCTCCACATCACTATGACTGGCTGATTACTGTTAATATGACAATACCTGCCTCCACTGTTCACATCCGTTCCTCAAATCAAGTCTGAATGGGTCAAACTAGTGGACATGGATGAACTAAACAGAATAAACAACTCACACACTCAGACAAAGTCACCATCTGAATCTTAATAAACCTGAAATGATTATCTGTGACTGAGTCTGTTTTTATTGGCCTCTTAACTAATGGTTCAAAAAGAAGATGAGTAAACCAATCACCCACTCAGACAAAGTCATTTTTGGTCACAAGTTACTGAAACTTTTTTTTTTTTTGAAGTTGCAAATAAAACAAAGATTATTAGAGTATGTTTTACAATATTTTTTAATTTAACGTGTTATTTTCCAATTCTTTGTAAATATTTCAGAGTGAAAACTGTTACACCAATTTTTTTTCAGTGTATTAATAATAATAGTAAACAACAGTTAATATTAACAACAAAAACAGTGTATTACTACAGTTGAAAGTATTACTACAACATTGAAGCATTGTAACATTTAAAAGCTTGTCATATAATTTTTGAGACTTTAGTTAAAAAAAAAAAATAGTAAGCTAATTTAAACAAACAAAAATATTATAGTATTAAAGTATTGGTTTGGTGTCCATAGTGCAATGTAAATGCTATACCAGAGCTCAAAATGCTATTTAAGCTTCTCCTTTCAGAAGTCCAGCATACATATAGCATGCCATTAGAGAGAGAGAGATAGAGAGAGAGTTGTGTGTTTGTGTGTGAGTCGAGCGTAAAACCTCTAGTGGTTATTTGATGCGCGTAATCTCATTGGACGGTGGAAAACCAAACAGCTTTTCAGCTATGAGAAGAACAAATCATAATATAATATTACAGCTCTCAGTTTCTCTCTGTCTTTCTCTTTTTTTCACCCACATACTGAATAATATTTCCACAGATTTTCAGCTAGAGTACAATAGCTTGCACTGAAACCTGACTCAGTTACATTAGCTGGATGGCTCATATGTTAACATTGGTTGAATGATATTATGGATAATGAAAGTTACAAGTCTGCCAAAGGTGCATGATGGGTTTGTGTTTTACTAGTTACTTATTCCAGTGTTTTTACTAGCAATAATGGATCATAAAAACCCAAGGTGACATAATAGTTGCGTCTTTTTTACATCCACAACCATTCAAAAGTTTAGAGTCGGTAATATTTTTTGGAACGAAACAAGTATGTATTAAATTCATCAAAAGTGACAGTAAAGACAATTATAATGTTGCAAAAGATCTCTGTTTTTAAATAAATGCTGTTCTTTTGAACTTTCTATCTATCATAGAATCCTGAAAAAAAATTTTCCCACAAAAATATTGAGCAGCACAATGGTTTTAAACGCTAATGATTATAGGAAATGTTTCTTGAGCGGCAAATCAGCATATTAGAATGATTTCTGAAGGATCATGTGACACTGATACTGAGTAATGATGCTGAAAATTCAGCTTTTCCATCACAGGAATAAATTACATTTTAAAATATAGTAAAATTGAAAACTGTTATTTTAAATTGTAATAATATTTCTCAATATTCTGCACTATTATATTCCAGTATATGTAATACCAGAGTAATTTTTGGAAAAATTACGAATATTTCTGTGTATTGAAAAAAAAAATTTGACAAAAATTTGAACATTTGAGGCAAAAATTTGATTACCACAATAATTAATTCTGACTTGTCCCTCCTTTATTAACATGCATTAATAACATAATTAGTGTAAATCATGGATGTCATATGTTAAAATTTTTATTTTTTAATCAATAATATTTACGAAATGATATATTGATACATATCCAACATGCAGTCAAGCAGTTGTCTCTGGAGAGCTCTTGACCAGTCTGGAACAGATGTGACATATATGGGCCATCCACACACACGCACGCACGCACGCACGCACGCACGCACACACACACACACACACACACACACCTTAACAGCCGCTCTGTTGCATCAACGAAGCAACTCCTGCATTATGTAGATGAATATTGTTGAGTGTAACACAATTAAATGATGAAATATATCAGACTGGAATCTGTAATACAACAGCAGCCCCCGAGTAAAGCGCAGGGAAACATTTTTACAAGCAACAAGAGGCAAAACTGTAAAATCAATGAACGTTTCAGGACTGCAAAATGAACCTATTGCTTAACATTTCAGGACAATTACAGCACAAACAAACATCAATGTGTTTGGAAAGTGGGCATCATTTAACCCTCGAGTGCTCCAAACTCAAATTCCCATCATGTATCTTTTTCATTGCTCAAATCGACATTATTGTCTCTGAAAACAATAAACTTGTTCTGAATCGTGCAGGGTTTTTTTTTTTTTGCCATTGCAACCAGACTCAATTAACTGCATTGGTTTAATGAAACCAACTGCTATCTAACCTACAATCCAAATACATTTAGTCAAAAATAAACAAAATCAAGACCATTTGAGAACATTAACGCAATGCTTTTGTTTGGATAATTTTCACAATTTTGTATGCCCATCTATATGGCTGTATCTGTGCAGATACTGGACTGGACTGTTTTGACACTGGTTCTTTTGGACTGAATGGAAGCTCAGAGATGATCTCCAGATGTGAGGATCACCATCCAAGCCATGGCATCATTTCAAAACTGGGATCTCACCCATTCAGGATTTACAATGCCAGGCCGCATGCTGGCATTCAGAGCGTGTGTACGGCACTGTCCCTTAGGCAGGAGCAGATGAACTCAGAGTTCAGATCTAAAGAGAATGCAGGACTGTGACTAATATGAGAGAGACTGCTGTTGACAACCATGTGAGGGCTTTTCTATTACTGCTTCAACCAGTGCAGTACGACAGACAAAACAGCAATAAGATATTCATACATAGATAATGTAAGATTAAATAAAGACTGAGATCATCCAAATATTCAGTATTTTTGGGTTCTGTAAGATTTTTTCATGGTTTTGAAGGACATCTCTTGTGCTCACCAAAGCTGCATTTATTTGACCAGAAACAATAATGACAATTTGCATGAAAATGGGCGGGGCTTAGGAGTTTGAAATGCCCAACCTTTCATTGGAAGCAAACTTCTCAAATGAAGCACTTTTAATGATCTGATTAAATGAGCAACAATGATACTAGTCTGCATACTGATGGAACTTGAACGGTCCTAATATTGCCAAAAAAAATTAAAATAAAATTAAAAATTCAGCTCCTATATTGAGAAAGTGAATGGGATAATTTTAGGTAAAGGTATAATAATTCTACTATAAAGCATAACAGTGAAAGTAAAATTTATGTAACAAATAATCGAATGAAATGACTTTAAATGAAATGTCATTAGGTATATATGACATTCCATTTAAAGTCATTTCATTTGAAAAAAAAAATTATATATATTTTTTTTTCATGAAATTGAACTAAAAAGAATATACCACTGATTACTGGTTTCAGAAACCATGTCAGAATCATTAAAAATCCCATTTTCTACAGTAAAAATTCATAAATGTGACCCTGGACCACAAAACCAGTAAAATAAAATAAGGGTACATTTTTTGAAATTGAGATGTATACAACATCTCATAGCTGAATAAATACGCTTTCCATTGATGATCCTTCAGAAATCATTCTAATATGCTGATTTGCTGCTTAAGAAGCATTTCTTATTATCAATGTTGAAAGCAAGACGTGTTGCTTAATATTTTTGTCGAGAACCATGATAAATGTTTTATTACATGATTCTTTGATAAATATGACATTTTTAAGAACAATGTATTTAAAATAGAAATCTTTTGTAACATTACAAATATATTTGCTGTCACTAAAAGTACACATTTCTTTAAAAAATTGTACTGACCACAAACTTTGGAACAGTTTTGAACACTTTACAAGTGTAATTATGTTTTTATCAGTTTACCATCAAACTTGCAACCAGTAGTAAGTTCACAACGTGATGCCGTAAGACAACATTAAGTTCAACAAAGTAATTTTTGGTTCTGGATTTGTTTGGTTTTGGTTTATCTAAAGGTGCTTAAAAGAACTCAAGGGGCTTTTAGTTCCTCTGTTAACAGATTACATCTTAAGACAATAAAAAAAAAAACATTACATTAAGATATTTTTCAAATATTTTTACATAAAGAACTTTTTAAATTCTAAGAACAATATTGCCTATACATAATATTTCCAATATGGTGAAAA